ACATCAAAATATTGAAGATATAAACAATAAAACCTGTAAAACATAAAGGTATATAAACAGAGTTGTCAATTGTTGTTTGTGGTAATATTAATTCATTCACTCTAGTAATGATACAATGTTTATTATTATGTTATCTTAAGAAAATGAATGGTTTATATAATTTGTTTATCACTGAGCCCATCGCTACTTTCAAATTAGACTGCATACTGTGCAAGATATGTATTTCACCCATATATACGCCTGGCTATGCCTAGCAACGGGAGCGGGTAAAGGGAGTGAATGACCCCTAGTTGAGTGTCATCTGCAGTTGTAACTCTCCTCACTCCCTGCCATGTTTCACTGGATTTACTGTTATTATTAGTGTGTACTGATGGAATAGTGCTTAATGGTGATTAATCATGGCATTGTAGATCGGTTAGCTCATCATTGTAACCACCAGGCTAATGGGCCAAGCTATAAGGTGTTAGCTGGCTCAGTTAGGGAGGGGAGGGAGGGAGTGTTGCTAGGGAGACAGAGGAGGTACCTCCCAGTTGTCTCTATTACTATGGTGAAGCAGGGAGTGTATGCAAATGGCAACTGTGTTAAACTTTCATTTGGCTTTTATTTACTGGTTTAGCAATACAGTATTTTTTGTTGTACAATATTGTATCATGAATGACAGTCATAGTAGAGTGAGAGGGATGCAGAATGTTGGTGGGATGCAGTGGGAGGGAGGGAGGGAGGGAGGAAGGTGGTGGTGGTGAGGAGGAGATGATGTGTCAGTTGGTTTGTTTGGCAACACTGGCTGCAGGACTGCCTGACACAATTGACCAGCTGATGTCTACCCACAAAATTAAGTGTAAATATAAATGAACAACGCCGTATTCCTTCTACATTACGTTACATAAATTTTAAATTATGGAGTGAGACTAAGAAATAAACAATGTACAGTATTGTACAATATTGTACTATCATGAATGACAGTCAGAATATGAGTGAGTGAGGCAGTGTCTGTGAGAGCAGTGGGTGGGTGGGAATGTGGATGGAAGGTGAAATTATGATTTATGTGGTGATAATAATGGTAGTGGTGGTGATGGTGGTGAGAAAGCAGAAAGGTGGGGGTGACTTACCGGTACCTTTCATAATAGTTGAACATTCTTTCATTAATTGGCAAATGGTTAGTAAAAACTTGCATTTGTTATAGTGTGGATTCATTCAGAGAATTGATGTTCATTGGGCACTTCTGTATAATGGTTATTACCCGTACAGGTATATTTTCAGTCAAAATAATATGTCATACCATATTATTGCTCAGGGATATTCAGAATTAATTTACGAAGTCCAATTGGATGTCAAAGTAAATAAGGGTACAGTCATGCGCCGGTTAACGTCCTAGATACGTTCTTGGAAACGTGACCTTAACCGAAATAGACGTTGTCCGATCATCACATAAACTTTGTATTTATACTTACGTGTATGTGGAATACTATATACGTACATATACACTTTTACTCTTAAATCACTACTGTAATGTGATACAGGTGATTAATTTTTATCTCTTGTGCAAATTACATGACATTTGTATTAAAATTATTCACTGTTTTACAAGGATTCCAGCAACGCTGGGCAGTTGGGGGAAAGAGAGGGAGGGAGGGAGGGAGCGAGCGAGGGGGCGTGGGGGGAGGGGAGGTAGTACGTTTGACAGTTGGCACTGGCCCAAGGTCTAATGCGTGTACCTGTATATTTATCAGTACCAAGTGACTAAGCTTCTCTCTTATAAAAAGCCAGTGACATGACCTGGGTGAATATAATTAACATTGTTGGGATTCTTGTAAGATACTGATTAATTTGAATATAAACATGCTATAATTTGCACTAGACATAACAATTTTAGTACCGTAATCAAATTAGTACATGTGCACCCCAGCTTTGCACTAAGGTCATTTATTTCTTTTACGTTTCTTTTAGTATGGTGTATGCATGTACATGGATGAAAATAAATGAAGAAATTTTTGTAAATCTACCCAAAAATGCAGTTGAAAAAATTTATATTATAAATGTACTACAGTACTGTACACTAATGTACAAAAATTTTTATCTCTTGAGCAAAATATATGACATTTATATTCAAATTATTGGCTGTCTTGCAAGGATTCCAGCAATGCAAATTATAATCTCCTAACTTTAGTCTGAGATATTATATAAGATAAAATCTGTAAGCCTAAAACCCTGGCTGGGGGAGAGGTACGGAGCCAGCCAGCCAGCGAGGGGTGGGGTGGGGTGGGTTTGAGGTGATATGTTTGACAGTTTGAGCCGAAGGTCTCTGTGTGTTTATTTAACAGTCCTACTAAGCTTCTCTCATTTTAAAATGCCAGTGAAATGACCTAGGAGAATATAATTAACATTGCTGGGATTCTTGTAAGATACTGATTTATTTGAATATAAACGTGCAGTAATTCGCACTCGACATAACAATTTTAGTACCATAATCAAATTAGTACAGGTGCACTCCAGCATTGCACTAAGGTCATTTATTTCTTTTACATTTATTTTAGTATGGTGTGTGCATGTAAATGGATGAAAATAAATGAAGAAATTTATGTAAATCTACCCCCAAAATACAGTTGAAAAAATTGATATTATAAAATGTACTACAGTATTGTACACTATGCACTACATTTTTTATATCTTGAGCCAAATATATGACGCTTATATTTAAATTAATCTCTGTCTTGCAAGGATTTCAGCAATGCAAATTATATTATCCTAACTTTAGTCTGAGATGTTATATAAAATAAACATAAAGAAATCACCAATCTTTTGTCTGGGAACACAAGGAGGGAGGTAGCCAGGAGCGTGTGGGAAGAGGGGGGGGGAGGTGAGGTGACAGAATGTCTGGTGTTTGTTTATTTATTTGAGATAAGATTTGACAGTTGGTGCTGAAGGCCTGCCTGCGTGTTTATTTATCATTACTTAAGAGTGACTGAGCTCTTCTCATAATTTGCCACCCAAACGACCTGGGTGAATATATCTTACATTGCTGGGATTCTTGTAAGATAGTAATTTAATTGAATACCTGTATAAACAAGCTATATTTGCAATAGACATAACATTTTTAGTACCGTAATCATTTAGTACATGTACAATACAGGTTGGCACTTAGGTTCATTGTTACTGTACAATATTGACTAAATTCGCTAGATAACGTACGCCTGGCAGCACAATCTATAAGAATACGCGATGCATACGTGACGTAAACGTGACTGTGCCCGCTCTAGGACAATTTAGGTTCGCTACTTCCCATTATTTGAATGTTTTTTTTTTTTTCAATTTAAATTTTAATTGTTTATTCCTTGATAGAGGAAGCGGGATCCTAGTGCTGTCACTTGGTACCCCTGTACCATAATACCAGATGCAACTGGCCAGTGTCACAAGTATATACAGTACAGTACCATCATCCCTTGGTTATCACGCCTAATTGAGACCCCGCCGAGTGCGTGATAACGAAAAACGCGATAACGAAAGTACAGAACCTATGGGATTTATTCTAATTGGTTCCAGGCACCCAAGACCCAACCCCAAGTTTCCCATTTTATGACCATTTAGACCCACTAAATATATATACCTGTATAATGTTATGTTAAATATCATAAACACGCATAGGCATGGCTAGGTTTATTACAAAGTGATGAAAAGGGTACCTCAATACTGTAGTCCACAAAACATGTAGCTATGCTTTTTATATTTGGTCCCCCATCATACGAGTCCGTTTTCTCTCACATCAGGACGCCTGAGTCCTCCGTTTTCTCTCTTAATCTTAGAGTGCACCAGAGACTTCGCTATTCCTTAGTAATGACGCAGAATTTGAAATTGCAAACCCAATTGCAACCCCAGTTGCAATTGTTGAGGCAACTAGTTATGTCTGATTACGGCAAATGTGTTATTGTCAATTTGTAGGTGAAAGATTTTATCCTCAATAGATGTAGGTTAACATTACACCTGGAGGGAAATGCTTAAAAAAAGCCAAAGGAAGGAAGCATATTCCTTTTAACACATAATTATCTGACCAGTATGGGGAGGATCATCGTGTCTCCGTCAGGGGGTCGTGGAGTGGTGGTCCAACAGGCGTCACGGAAGTTTTTTGTTTTTTTGGGGGGGGGGGGGCGTTGTTCGGTCGGACGTTAACCGGCTCATGACTGTATATTAATCGTGTTAAGCTGAAATGAGTATCAAATAAAAAATATGAATTATTATAATATTTATGCCATCCCTTTACTGAAGCTGTAAACAAATATTTTTTGTATTCTTCCCCTCGACAGACAATGACGTCAGGCGGGAATACATTAAAAACACAGCTTTGAACTTTAGAAACACTATAAGCTTAAATAAACATTTATTGTTATTCCCTAGTATGTATAAGAAATTCAGATATCATTTATGCTCTGCAGGTTTAATCCTTTTTTAGTATCAAGGATTAATATATAAAACAAAATATTTCTGTTTATTGTCCATTTGGTACTTAAGAAAAAAGATAGAATTTGGCTAAATTGATAACTTCACCTAACACTCTTTCAATTGATAATCATTTTAGAGTAACAAATGCCTTTCATATTGTTGTAAAAGTAAAACAACTAAAAAACAAGGAAATGAGCCCTATTCTATGGTATTCATTGCATTCCCACCCACACACTAACCTTAAGATCTAGTTGCCAGATACCTTTATTTGGACGAATCATACCGAAAATGTGACAACACTCCCTTGGGTGATTTTACTTCCTGGATAAAGTTCAACTTAGCAAAATGAAGGACAGGAAAACCTAATTTTCATGAGTTATCTTGATAATGGGAAAGTAAAATTATTGGAGGTGGTATAACAAAGAAAGCAGATTGGTAAATTTTTTAATTTTAATCTTCAAATTGTATTGATAATATAGTAGGACATTGAACGTAATATACAATTATGCTTATATTTACAAATTGCCTCCAATGAAAAATATTAATGTGAATATTAAATTTTTCAGCCAAATTGCAGAGGTTTGAGTTACCAGGTGCGTTAACTCTGACATCAGAGTTATGGACCCCCGACACTGGCTTGGTCACCGCTGCTTTCAAGATCAAGCGAAAAAGCATACAAGTCAAATATCAAGATGCTATTAACCGCATGTATGCTTCATAGGATGCCTATGGGCAGCATCATAATGAAATTTTAGAATGTATTTGTATCTAAAATCTAAAAACTTTTGTGTGCCAGGTCCAGTGCATGTTTTTATATTTATTTGTACTGTTTGTTGTTTTTTGGTTAATAAATGACTTAGTTAATTTTGAGGGAGATCTTTTTATGAATTTATGTTCCTTATTTTCTAGGAACAGCCTTCAGGATTGTGTGTTTTGATACTCATATTTCAACGAACAAAGGTTTCATGTTTCTATTCCTTGTATAGTCATGTATACTATTTCGGTTACAAAACTTCAGCAGTAGGGATGCAGTGAATTGTCTGTCAGTATACAATTATAATTTATTGTTTTTTTCTTCTGTAGAATTACGAGTAAATATTTAGTAGATGTGATGGAAATCAAAATTTTTACCAGAAGTAATTCAGAATGATGTTCTGTTTTGTATCTTTTTAGGGGCAAATGGCTAAATTGTTATCCTGTTTTCTGCTTGAGCCATTTCTGTCTCCAGGGACAGTATATAAAAAATATCATTGTGGAAGTCTTGTGTCTCGATAGTTTCCCCGCCTGATATATCTTACTTATTTCATTGTTGCTCTCCCACTCCCTCCCCCTCTGGCCCTTCTTGGTGGGGACCCCAGATTCCTCTACATTCTGGTATAACTTTCAAGCTTCTTACTTTCACTTTAAAGTAGATGATTGAAAACAAGGGTTAGTGGATAGTATACTTTTAAAATGTAACAGTTTATTCATATGATGTCTGTTTTGGCAGCTGACAATAACTTGGGTAGTTTTGGGTTAGAAAAAGCAAATGTTTTTACTGGAGTTTTGATACTATACAGAAAATCTGGGTTATTGGAATTTTAAATACAGCTTATTATAGTGAGTATGATGTAATTTACCTAGACTGCATGTCCAAATTGGTGTATGTTTGTATGATAGCAGTAAAGTTGTACTTGATCACAGAATCCGCATGATCTTGTAATCCTGAGGACCATGATGTAAATTGTTTGGCTGTATGTGACCAAGACTAATCAACTCAAGCCATCCTAACCTGACCTCACAATTTTAGTTGTTTTAGTTAAGTTAGGTTTCCATGGTTCATGATATATTCAGCCAATAATGATTTAGGTCATAGCCTCTCAAGATGCCAAGAATATAAAGGTTCCACGATCACTCAAAATAGTGGTACATGTTAAAAGCAGCCAGGAAGTGGTTCTATGTTGTATGGAAATTGCACAAATACAATAAGACAACATTGTTTTATAGTAAACATTGTGCAGATAGAATGCAACTCTTAACACTAGATAGCTCATGCACATGATGTTTATCACACTACTTTATTAACTAATTTGGTTTGTTTAACCCTCTCGCGCATCATGATCTGAATTTGCCCTCAAAATTTTTTTTCATGATTGCATCAGATTTTCGTGCATCATAAATGACTGCATGATCTTGCAAGGGAATCTTCCAAAAAATACCAAATCACGGGTGGAGTTAGGCTGTCCATCAATTTCTTCCCATCAGCTGTGCTGGTAGGTCTCATTTATCTCTCTTTCTTCTTCCACCCTTTCCATAATTAGTCAATTTCAAAATTTCAAAGCCACTGTTGGAAAGCTCATAAAATTCCACTTCTCTAACTATATAATATCTTGGTAGGTTTGTGAGACAGTATCCGAGATATGATGCTGTCAATACAAATACAGTAATTGTTTTCTTTATTTTGAGTGAAAAAATATTGTGTTATTCTCATTTAATTATCTTTTCTGCTTTTGGTAAAGTCAAAACAATAATGAAGTCAGTGATGTATAAATCATGCAAAAAAAAACTTTTTAATGTGGGATAATTGGCTGCAGAACAAAGATGCCTAAGATATCATGGGAGTGGTCCCATATGACTTTTATCATAGTCATGGAAACTTAAAACTTTATTGTGTGCGTAAGATGGTTAATATAGTTTAGCTGGGATAGTAGAGGGTTACTTCCCAGGATGAAAAATAATTTTTTTTTTAATTGTCAGTTAATATAATTTGTTAATAGAATTTTTTCAGACTGGGGTTTTAGGTATTTTTAATGGTATAGTCACTGTACTGTACTGTACTGTACTGTAGTACCATGAAACTATATTTTTCATTATTATAACTTTTAATGTGTTTTAATATTAGACTTTATTACCTTGGGGCTTAGGGGGGTCAGACAATATATCAGTAGTAGTATGAGGTATTCAAAATAAAGGGAATAACATTTAGAATTGAACACATCTGCAAAAGTCATTATTCTGTCTTTGATCAGTCATATATTGAAAGCAGCATTTAAGTGGGTCAGTTCTAAATCTCTATAAAGGCATACACAAATGTAATATTTTTGTCAGTCACCAAAAACTTCAAAATCTTTAGTTGTTCTTTATATAGTCTTCAGCATTATAAGTTTAACTAGAGTTAATACTTTACATTGCGTACAGTCAACCCTCACTTTACGCGGTCCCACATTCCGCGTTTCTACGTTATGCGGTGCCCTGCCAGAACCCAGGATGCTCACATTCCGCGGTGGGTGTACCCCTTTACACGGGTGAAGTATAATTTTTTTATTTAGCTCATAAAATTCATACAAATTATCCGGCCAGAATATAATTTACATTGCTGGAATTCTTACAATTTGATGATCATTTTGAATGTAAACATCATATATTGTGCATTAGACATACAAATTTTAGATATAATGTTTACTCTTGAGTAAATATGTTATCTTTTGTGCAAAATATATGATATTTATATTCAAAATATTCCTGGTCTTACAAGGAATCCAGCAATGTCAATTATATTACCCTAACTTTAGTCTGATGTATTATTTATTACTAAAAAGGTAAACAGTCTGGTATTCCCACACATTTATGTAGTAGGGACGGTTGGTGGGACCGGCGACCGACCATCTGTTACCGTGTGAAGAATATTTTTTTTTTATTAACTGAAGATTTTTATTTTAGCTCATAAAATTCATACAAATTACCCGGCCAGAATATAATTTACATTGCTGGAATTCTTACAATTTGATGATCATTTTGAATATAAACATCATATATTTTGCATTAGACAAAATTTTTAGATATAATGTTCACTCTGAGTAAATATGTTATCTTTTGTGCAAAATATATGACATTTATATTCAAAATATTCCTGGTCTTACAAGGAATCCAGCAATGTCAATTATATTATCCTAACTTTAATCTGAGGTATTATTTAATACTAAATGTTAAAATCTAGTTTTTTCACCCACTCTTTCTCTTGAAGGGAGGGTTGGTGGGAGGGTTGGGACGGACTGACCATCTGGCTGGTTGGAAGAGGGGGGAGGCAAGGTGGGGTACTTTGATTGACAGATAGAGTCTTGAAGAATATTTTTTTTTTTATTAACTAAAGATATTTGTTTTAGCTCATAAAATTCATACAAATTACCCGGCCAGAATATAATTTACATTGCTGGAATTCTTACAATTTGATGATCATTTTGAATATAAACATCATAGATTTTGCATTAGACATACAAATTTTAGATGTAATGATTGCTCTGAGTAAATATGTTATCTTTTGTGAAAAATATATGACATTTATATTCAAAATATTCCTGGTCTTACAAGGAATCCAGCAATGCCAATTATATTATCCTAACTTTAGTTTGAGGTATTATTTATTACTATACCTGGTTTTCCTCCCCAAAATTTCTCAGAGGGAAGAGCCAGCAGTGTAGTGCGAGAAGAGGGGGAGGGAGTCGTGTCCATTATTTGAATGGACATTAACTTGGCGACTGTATTTCTCTATTTCTCTTAAGTATTAATTGTGTCCATGTACCATCATAAAATTAAGATGTTAGTTTTACTAGAACATAGGTATTGTGTTGGAAAAAGTGGAGTTTGGGGGTCAGCTGGTCTCTATTTCATTTAATCCCATATGTTATGTTATTCACTTTACGCGTTTCTCACTTTCCGTGGTACCCTGTGGGTTACATTAACCGCGTAAAGTGAGGGTTGACTGTATATGTTAAGGCAGGACTAGAATTGTATAGTTAACACTCAGCTTAGGCAGCACAGAGGGAAGATTGAGTTGACAAGGAGCTTACATTGTCTGCACAACAATTTATTCCTTTTTCAGAACAATACATTTTATATCTTTCATTTTGCAGTTTTAAAATAATAGAACATATGTTATATGTTCAGGTTTTTCTATTCACTTATTGTAAAAACTTCTACTTAAATGAATCTTTGATCTTTGTATGCACACTGTATTGCAGCCATACTGTAATTAAATGCTGTATACTTCACCCTCTTACAGTCTGACCAACATAGTAATGTGAAATCTGTTCAACTTTTAGGATCAAATCTATATTTTGAATGAAGTGGTTATAGCCTTATATATATGTTTTTTCTTCAAATACTGCAAAGGAAGTACTGCAGTAGGTTTAATATTACTGCACACTATAATAATAGGCAGAATTTGCCATTCTACTACCCTAGTCAGTGGTCTTTGTAACTGCTCACCTTGATGTGTTGCTGCTCCTTTCATCTGTGTGGGTAATACCCAGAAATCCCAGTATTGGAAATTCTGTGTATCATATATTGCTGTATAGTAGTGAACTATACTGAGCCTTCTTCAACCATTATTGTCTCTTCTTAAACTACCATTATTTGTTCTTCAACTATTATTCTCTCTTCTTAAACTACCATTATTTTTCTTCAACCGTTATATTCTCTTCTTAAACTACCATTATTTGTTCTTCAGCTGTTATTGTCTCTTCTTCAAGTGCCAATATTTGTTCTTCAACTGTTATTGTCTCTTCTTAAACTACCATTATTTGTTCTTCAACTGTTATTGTCTTTTCTTGAAATACCATTATTTGTTCTTCAGCTGTTATTGTCTCTTCTTCAAGTACCATTATTTGTTCTTCAACTGTTATTGTCTCTTCTTCAACTACCATTATTTGTTCTTCAACTGTTATTGTCTCTTCTTCAAGTACCATTATTTGTTCTTCAACTGTTATTGTCTCTTATTAAACTACCATGGTTTGTTTTTCAACTGTTACGGTCTTCAGGCACTTTTGTACACTATGTTCTTGGTGTTGATATGATACTTCGGACACACTACCTCAGTCTTCCATTATACTTCT